ATGTATGCCCATGTGCCAAGCTAAAAAGTACTCTTCTTCTTAGAAATTACCCCCACCACATGAACACATACACACACAAAACAAAAACAAAAAGGTGGCTGGAGAGATGGTTCAGTGTTAAGAATACTTGTTGCTCTTACAGAGGACCTGGGTTCTCTTCTCAGTACTCACATGTCAGCTCACGACCATCTATAACTCCAGTTCCAGGGGATCCAACACCCTTTTCTGACCCCCAAGGGCACCGGGCATGCTTATGGTCACATACATACAGCAGGAAAATACTCATGCACATTAAAGTAAAATAAATAAATCTTTTTCTAAGTTAAAAAAAAAAAGCAGAATCATGCATAAGTTGCTTATACCACTAAGATTTTAGCACATTTTGGGGTTGTCTTCCAGGCTTTCCTCTTTGCATCAGTATACATTTCATGTATTAAACTCTGGAAACTATTTTTTTATTTTCATGCACATCTGTCTACTCTAACTCCCCCCGCCCCCTCAGCAGCCAAATACGTCTAGAATGGCACAGCACTCTAGGCTGCAAGTCCCCTTGTGGGATGATGCTGGTGACTCCATCAGAGTTTCATGCCTTAGCCATGCTTTGGGCCCAGGTCTTGTTCTTTAAGTACTCTCAAGGGTGGTAGGTCATCATTCTTTGCAAGATGGATTTGATTTCTAAAAATGAGCCGATGATTTCCCACATCCCATTGTTGCCTCCCCTTTGCAGCCCAACTTGAGATATGACTGTAACAGCAGATTAGGTTTTCCAGGGAAAGGAAAGAAGATGAGAGTAAATATTCATGAGTTACTAACTATGAGTTATAGCTACACTAAGCTGAATTCTAGGGCTCTGTAGAAACCTCTGTGTAAGTATGGCAGTAGTTCCCCAAATGGTGCTTAAGTGGGCATCAGAATCTCCGGAGGACTTTCTTTAAAATGTACATGAAGCCAGGATTGATGGAGAGGGCGCACCATAGAGAGTGTAGTCTTTCTCTGTAATTGAAGTGAAATTGCTCAGTAGGTACCCAGTTACTGTTCCTCGTTTATTCCATACTGCTCTAGTTTGCTTTCTAGTGCAGGGACCGCAGAGGAAGGCTGCTTACCTGCTTGCTTGCTTCAGACCCACCTGCCCAGGGATAGCACTGCCCAAGTGGCATGGGCCCCCTCAGATCGGTTAGCAATCAAGAAAATGTTCCAGAGACTCAGCCCATAGAATGCCCACAGGCCAATCTAATGGAGGCAATTCCTCAGTAAAGCCCCTTCTACCCAGGTGCCTCCAGCGTGTGTCACCCACTAACCAGCACACTTACTGATAGAACCTTGATTTTGTTTGGAGTGGCTTTTGCCCAGCTAAAGTATTCCCTTCTCTGAGTTCCCTTGTAGCTGGGAGTGGTGACCTGTATGCTCTGGCCTGTAAACTGGAGGTAGAAGCTCCTCGGGGAGCATGCCTTCATAAATGGACATTCCTCCAGCCTTTGTATTTTTTCCTTTCCTGCTTCACAGGCTTTCAGGTAGCAGCAACTGCCTTGCAGCCTCAGGCCAGTGACAGCAGCCACATAGTTCTCAAGTCACTATAGCATCATGCTACCTGCTTCAAGATTTCTTCTTGTTCCATGAGAAAAATAAACCTCCATCTGCTTAAGCAAATGTTAGTTTTTAATTGCTTGCAGCTGAATGCAATCATAACTGATAAGGTAATGTTTTAATATTTTACAAGGGAGAAATATATTTACATATTGTGTAATTAAAAATGAAAAATAATTTAAATCCCCACAGATTTCTGTGCCCCACATCAATGTACTGAAATAGACTCTTTGGGCTCAGGATGCACATATCTACATTTTAAACAAACTCTCCAGGCAATTCTGGTACACAGGAAACAGGAGAATCATTGTTATACTCAATAGTATGAGTCCCATTTTACAGATGAGAGCATTGAATCATGCTAATAAAAGCTCCATGTCTGTATCTGTGTCAGAACACACCTACAGGTGCATGTGGGGTATGTGTGAGTGAGTGAGTGAGTGTGTGTGTGTGTGTGTGTGTGTGTGTGTGTGTGTGTGTGTGTGTGTGTTTGTGTTTGGAGGGCTATGAATGAAACCCAGGGTCTTGGGCATGCTAGGCATTCATGCCACCACTGAGCTCTAACTCCCTGTGACCAGTATCCCAGTAATTTTAAGTGAGATTTGACTCTGGACTTAATACCCTTCCTTACTTCTCTGCCCAAGGAGACCTGGCTTTCTGCTCAGCACAGCCAAACAACTTCCAAAAGGATCCTCCAAAATAGAAGGTCCTCTCTCGGTACAAGTCTGACACCACTGTCCAAGGACAGCATCACTGCCACGTCTCACCCAGGGATGAACATGTGTTCTATAAGTTCTTGGTTTCTTTTTCTACCTTTGAAACAAAATTCACTGAAATTTTGTTTTCTCTGTAGGCTGTCTAGGATTTAGTTCCTTAAAAATGACTATGGTTTCTTACCCATGAAGGATAATTACAGTCTTTTATCTATCATTCATCAAGACAGTGGTCAGCCATACACATTCATAATAACACACCAATACTTTTTTAAAAATGGTTTTGTTATTTTTATAGAGGCTATGGATGTCAGATGCACCTGGAGCTGGAATTACAGGTGGCTGTGAGCTACCTGATATGGGTGCCGGGGATTGAACTCAGATCCTCTGGAAGATCAGGACGTAGGACTTAACAGCTGAGCCATCTCTCAAGCCCACAGCAGTGCTTTTATCCACCCCCAACCTTTCTGTTTTTTTGAGACAGAGTCTCTCTATTTAGTCCTGGCTGTCCTGGAACTCACTATGTAGACCAGGGTGGCTTGGGACTTTCAGAGCTCCCCCTATCTCTGCCTCCCCAGTGCTGAGGTCATACCCCAACACTAGTGCTTTTGAAAGGGATCTTGGGATAAGGTACCTGCCGCAGGCTGTAATAATTTGATATATATGAGTTTGGGAGATCTGTCTGACAAAAATGGTCTTCTAACAGGAAGGAGGAACTTTCATTCTCTGAAATAGGAGATACCAGAGGCCCTTGTGGGTAGAGTGTAGTCCAGGAGTTAGGAACTTGGTGTTCCATAGCTGAATGTGGTGTGAATCCACCATGCTTCGGGATCTCTGGTGTACTTTCAGATGCATTCAGACAACTCTGAAGCTCCATTATTGAGGTTCCCTTATGCATTCAATCTTTAGGAAGTTCTTCATTATGTTGCCTTTTAAGGAGGTCCTTTGTGGGCAAGAAGAGAAGGTAGATTCCTGTCTCCAATGGTAGCTATTGTCATGTACAAGGGGCTTGCATAGTCAAGGCTCCATGACAGACCTTTATTTTATTTTATTTGTTGTTGTTTGCCTGTTGTTTTGTTTGTTTGTTTTGCAGTAGTTAGGGCTAGGATCCAGAGCCTTGCATGTGCTAGAGTTAGGCAAGCACTCTGAGCCTCAGCCCCAGACCCACGCCTTTGTCTGATTCATATTACTTGTGTTTATTTGTCTGAAATAGGGAAGCTGAGATTGCCTCAAACTTGGAATCCTGCCTCTGCCTCCCAAGTGCTTGTGATTACAACTGTGCATCAACTAAGCCAGATTAATTCATTTACTTCTTATAAAAGCTTTGCAAGGTGTCATTGTTCCTGTCCCATGGATGTGGAAATCAAGGCTCAGAGAAATTTAGTTGTTTATCACACAGCGTGATCAGATTGGAGCTCAGGCCTGTCTGACTACAGAGATTTTTGCCCCAGCTCTGTGTAGCTGCTTCAGCTACACCCAGCTTCAAAGTGTGGCAGGGCAAGTGAAGTGTGGTGGAGGAGAAAGGGTCTCCAGGCTGGCCTGGAACTTATAATCCTCCTCCTTCAGCCTCCTGAGTGCCAAGGTTACAGATGTGGGCAGCCATGGCCAGCTAGGAGGCCTTGTTTGATTGAGAGAATTGGGGGAAATATCTGTAGAAGAAACTGCATTTAAAGACGTTAGGGTAAAGCTGGACGTGGTGGGACAAGTAAAAATGAACAAGGACAAGGTTGGTTGCATGCTGGGAATAAGGACTGTGCTTTGATTGACTGTAGTTCCTTGTGGGGTTGGGGCAGGAAAAGAGGCTATGAAAGTAACTGGGGCAGACTGTAAAAGGCAATGATTACCTGGCTGAGCAGAATGTATTATGTATTGTGTTGTTCATTTATTATCCCTTGATATACAAATGACTGAAAGCCAGGAGCAGTGGTGCACACCTTTAATCTCAGGACTTGGGAGGCAGAGGCAGGTAGATCTCTATGAGTTTGAGGCTAACCTGGTCTACAGAGTGAGTTCCAGGTCAGCCAGAGCTACATAATGAAACCCTGTCTCAAAAACAAAACAGAATAACTGTAATCATTCCAGTACTCAGGAGACTGAGGAAAGAGGATCTTTAGCTCCAGACTATCTTGGGCTGCACATCAAGATCTTACTTCAAAAGAAAAACACAGTTATTTGTATGTATGTGAATGATGACAGTAAATTGCAGTGTTAGGAAAAAGAACTTCCCGAGTATTAATGGAATGCCTTTTATTCTACCATTAATTAGAAAGTAAGGATTGTGAAACTCACTGTCTTTCCCATTTTGCCTCAGCTACCAGGAACCCAGGAAGCCTAATTCAATGACTAGCATCAATAACTGTCCTACTCGCTGGTTCTTGGGAAGCGGTTTCTTCTGTTGTTTCACGTGGCTTACAGTCATCTTTATGTTATTTCCACTGGAAATAAATGACTGTTAAAAACAACCCTGAGTTCTTCCTGTGGCAGTGAGATACATCCGTGTACCATCACAGAGAGAGGCAAGGTGGGACAGGGTGGTGATGCAGCAGTGTTTGCTTCAGATGTGCCATGCTCCTGGCACACTGAGGAGCTCCTTGCAAGAGAATATTGAGAAAGGTGTGTTATCTTGGACAAGTAATAGAGTCGCTTGCTCCAGAGCCCCCACAAGTCTCTGAGTATTGCTGGGAAGGGCAAGAGGGGTATATGTTGGCAGGAGGGGTGCTCTGTGGTTGTCTTCCCCCTGCCATGTCACTGTATGCCTGGACCCCCCTTTTGATTTCTTTTTTTTCCCAATGGCTCCAATGGGCATTTATTTAAAGCGAGGCATCTGCAGAGCAAATAATTCTTAAATTGTGATTCAGGTTGAAACAACTTCATAAAAATACACTGAGACCAGGCACATCCACAGATCTTAACTGCAAGATCACTTCTTCATCCATTCTTCTTTCTCTTTTCTTTCCAGAATAACCTCTTTCAGAGATGGTTCAAGGTAGAATTGGTCCTCCTCATATTTTGTCCACTGCTCCATGGACAAGATCTGATACCTCATGGTCAGGTCCAGGGCTCTCTTAATTCGAAACATGCTGTCATTATAAAGATCCCCAGGAAGCCTTCTTACGACTTCTTTCACATCTTCAGCCTGGTATATTGTATCATCTCGCATTACCCCAGTCTGTTGAGTCCTGCAGCATTATAATACCAGTTTCAGAAACCATCCAGCCGCTTGCTCGACACTGCAGCAGCGGCTCTGCCCGCCACTTTGACCCGAGAGTGAAGCGCTGCCTTCTCCCCTTTGATTTCTTTTGCAAGTCTTCAATTTGGTGGTTCTCTAGCACCACCTCAACCAGCTTTGGGGGGTTGTTAGGCAAATGAGCTAAATAAAGCTTGTGTGTTCATGGGTCTGGTGCGTTGAAGGCAGCTCAGCAGAATGATTGCATGGTGGGTAGAATGGGAGCAGTTTTGTCTGACAGGCCTTGAGAAGAATGCATGGACGCCTATCAGAGCATCCAAGGGAGCCCCACCCTCCTGCCTTCCTGGGTGTACAGGCATGGACTCTGCAGCGGGTCTGTGCTGGCGGTCTTCACAACTACACAGAACCAAGCTTTCCCTAGAGAGCTGCTGCACATTAAGGTAAAACTTTACCTCAGGCTGGGCTACTGTCTTGCTATTTGTGGGCATCCATATTATTTTTTGTTTGTTTGTTCATGGTTTTTTGTTTTGTTTTGTTTTGGTTTTGGTTTTTTTGAGACAGAGTTTCTCTGTGTAGCTTTGGAGCCTGTCCTGGAACTCGCTCTGTAGACCAGGCTGGCCTCGAACTCACAGAGATCCGCCTGCCTCTGCCTCCTGAGTGCTGGAATTAAAGGTGTGTGCTACCACTGCCTGGCTCCATATTGTTTTTAATATTCATGTTAGTACCTACAATGGTTTGATTTGGGTGAAGAACCTGTTGAGAAGATATGTGGAATTGTGTGAGAGAGCTTTTCTGGAAAAGTCTTGCCAGATTCTCAAACATTTTATTTAAGAGTTAAGCACTACTGCTCTGAAAAATGACTGTCTTTGAATTTTTTCCTGGCATTCTAAAATGTCCTATCAGCCCTGTCCCCAAGCCTGGTGCTCAAAGCACCTGTAAGCAGAAGGGATGGAGAGACATTTGGATAAGATGGCTAAGAACTAGGGGACTAAGGTCCTGGACTGTCGAGCTGTTGCCCTCATGAGCCCCTCAGGCTCCAGTGCAGTCTAACATTCTCCCTGCACAGAGCTACTCAGCGGCCAGCATCCTGGTTGTCCTCTTGCTCCTGCTTTTCACCACTATATCAGCTGAGGAAAGGCCTGCTCTCCCCCTGTACTGGGGAGCAACTATGAGGAACCACAGCAGTGAGACTTGTTTGCTTGCAGAACAAATGAGATTTTTTTTCCCCCTCCGGGCCTCAGCTGGGGTCTGGACGGGAAGTCTGCCTGATTTTCTTTCACCTTACTGGCTTCACAAACCCACAGTTGCAGCTGCACTTTGTGAATCAGAATTGGAAGCATTGTTCTCTGGTTACCACCAAGGAATGCCTTTCCTGAATGGTTCCTGTGGGTGTGAGTAACTCTGAAGGAAGAATGTCCTGAAACAGAGACAGTAGCTATTTATGGTTTATTCTTTTGGTCAGACATCATCGAATACCTACTGTGTGCAGGTGGAATTCACTGTATACCAGGAAAGGCAAGTCTATGTGAAGACATTACCTAAGCTATAGAGAATAAGCAAGCTCATCAGAGGAATCCCAGAGGGGCACAATTAATTCAGCAAGTGCACCTGCGGGGGTGGCCACCCCCACTAATAAGAGGCCATTGAGCTGGATGTTAAAGGGAGGATGTGGCTTCTGCAGACTCTTCTGACCCTTTCCATTATGGAAGCATGCATTTTTACCTTGTTATTAGTATGCACACAATATTTCATGCTGCTGCCTTTCTGCTTAGCATTCCTCTGCTGATTTCCACTTAGCAACTAGGCCAAAGTATTTATCATTTGTAAAAGCTACACAGCATTTTTGCCTTATTGATGTACCCTCATTGCATAGCTGCCCTCTCATTTGTTGGGAAAAGCGGAGTTTTTCTCAATTACGAATCCTTGCTGTTGGCTCTTCCTCTCCCTCTTCCCTTCTTTCCTTTGTTCCTTAGGAATTCATGGCTAGGTTAACGTTATGAATGGCTTTATGCTTTCTCCTTGCTTTTTTTTTTCATTACAGAAAATTCCAAATATACATAAAAGGAAAATGACGAGTATAATGATCCCCACATATTAGTCATGGAGCCTCAATAATAATCAGTTCATGGTTATTATCATGCCAAAAATAAACTAGTCCTAACTCTTCATTTTTTTTTTAATGGTACTAAAAATGGAACCAGGGTCCTCATCCACACTAAGCTTCAACCACTAAGTTATATCTCCAGTCTATCATAATTGATTCCTAATGGAAAATATCTAGTCATCCAAATGAAAGCTGACAGTTTCCCAGTGTTTATTTGGGGCCAAATTGCTTTTTGTTCCAGGGTGTTTGCCAGGGAAGTTTTGCTTGACCTACCAGTTAATGACTAGGATTTTTTTTTTTTTTTTAATCAAGAAAGGATCTGTCGGCCTGCAGGACTTGGCCTCCAAAGGAATGGAGGGGAGGAGGTGGGAGAGAGGTACTGCACTTGACTCCTATGGGAAACTTGGCTGTACCACCCTTTTCACATACCAGCTTGAACTGACAATGTGTGGAGGTAAAGAAATGTCTGGCCTCTCCCCTTGAGACCACCCCATTAAAGCAAGCAGTATCATGCTGTCATTTTCAGCACTGAGAAAAGCTACATAGATATTAAATTTCTCTTTCTACAGTAAAAATTCCAGAAAGCTAGGAAAATGCCTACTCCCTACTGTATTTGGTCATTCTGTTGGCATGTTTCTTTTGGCAAGCTTTGTTCTGTATTGTTCAAGGTGACCCAGTTAGAACTAGTGTTTAAAGTCATGCTGGCCTCAGTAAGTTACACAACCTGTGTGGGATTAAGTCTACTAGCTCTGCATATTTTACAAGGAAGTACATGCTTGCATGGAGTCTCCTAATATTTAAATATGGTTACATTTGAGTATATTCTCTCCTGTTTGTTCTGTGTTGATATTTCTGATTTTTCAGTGGTGATGGATAGGAAGAGCTTCCTAAATAATTCAGAGCCCTGTTGTATTTGCCATCTCAGACTGATTCTCAGTTTGGGCTCCTTGAATTAACTAGGAGTTAACAGCGTCCTGGGTGACCTCCTCTGGGACAAGGAGTGTTGTTAGCAGGGAGGCTGGTCAGGATGAAGTGCCTTGAGAGATTACTGGGGGTGGCAGCTTTATCCTTAAGAGAAGAGAATCAAGGCATTCAATGAAAAGTTTGCTGTGCTCAGGCCAGCCTAGGGACTTGCTGTTCCATATCTTTCTTTTTTTTTCTTTCCTTTGACAACTTTATTTGCAATACATAAAAATAAATGAAAACGTTCAACTTAAATTGAGTATCACAAATGTAAGAAGGTACTGCTATCATCGTTCTAAATAATTGGTATGAATTTTTTTTTTGTTCCTTTATCTGTCTTGCTATTTCTGATGGAAAAATTAAATAACTTTTTTTCACATGAGGCCCTAGGTATGATCACTACCAAATGTCTATGTCATGCACGCAACCCCTCCCCCGCCAGTACCAGCTTTTCCTTTTCATACAAGCTTGCCATTTTATTTCTTATTCTTTTGTTTGTTTGTTTGTTTTGTTTTGTTTTTCAAGGCAGGGCTTCTCTGTGTAGCCCTGGCTGCCCTGAAACTCACTCTGTAGACCAGGCTGGCCTTCAATTTAGCGATCCACCTGCCTCTGCCCAGAGTGCTGGGATTGAAGGTGTGCATCACCACTGCCTGGCTTATTTCTTGTTCTTTTGCAGTGTAATATCACTTTTAAAAAAATCTTTTACTTTTCTCTCATTTTATAACAGGTGTTGCCAGATGTGGCAGTACATGTCTTTAATCCCAGCACTGGGGAGGTGGAGGCAGGTGGATCTCTGTGAGTGTGAGGCCAGCCTGGTCTACAGAGCTAGTTCTGAGTCAGCCAAAGCTACACAGTGAGACTCTGTCTCAAAAAAAAAAAAAATCCCCTATCCCAGAACAAAAATAAAACAACAAAAGATTGCCTCTAAGTCAAATACTTCTACATATTCATTATTTTCACCTTTCCCCATTTCTCTGAAAGGCATTTTCCATTTACATCCTTTAAAAAATTAGTTTAGACTTTTTTCCTCACATCATTGCATAATGTTTCTCTCTGTTTTTTATAGCTACTTATAATGTCTGTATTATATCCAACTGAGTCACTATTCCATGATTTACTTAACCACCAATTTTCTGTTGAAGTTTTAAGAAATATATTTATTTATTATTTTATGTATATGTGTGTGTGTGCTTGGTACATGTATGTGAACTACGTGAGTGCAGGTGCCCACAGAGGCCAGAAGAGGGGATTGGATTCCCTGGGACTGGAGTTGCAGCTGGTTGAAAATCACCCAAGATGGGTGCTGGGAGCCAAACCAAGGTCATCTGCAAAAGCAGCAGTTACTCTTAACCACTGAGCCTCTTCATCTCTTCTACCCCTGTTTGAGAAATTTTAAGAATTTTAAATAGTACTACATTGATTATGTTCCAGGTAGGTTTTTTTCTTTTCAATAGCTTCAGATTAAGCTATTTTTTGGCCGGGCGGTGGTGGCGCAAGCCTTTAGTCCCAGCACTCGGGAGGCAGAGGCAGGCGGATCTCTGTGAGTTCGAGGCCAGCCTGGACTACCAAGTGAGTTCCAGGAAAGGCGCAAAGCTACACAGAGAAACCCTGTCTCAAAAAACCAAAAAAAAAAAAAAAGATATTTTTTGTTTTTGTTTTTTGAGATAGGGTTTCTCTGTGTAGCCCTGGATGTCCTGGAACTTGATTTGTAGACCAGGCTGGCCTCGAACTCTCAGATATCTACCTGCCTCTGCCTTTCAAGTGCAGGGATTAAAGGTGTATGCCATCATGCCCGGCTAAGATATAATTCTTATTCACTTATTTAAAGTATAGGGTTCAGTGGGTTTTTGTCTATCCTGAGTTGTACAATTATTACTACAGTTACGGAGAACATTTCCATCATTCGTGGCCATTAACACCCACTCCTTACCCACATTCCTAGGCAATTGGTGACTTGCTTTCTGCCTCTGTAGATCTACCTGTGGTTACAAATTTAAAACTGAAGTCAGGTGTAGTGACACATGCCTTTAATTGCAGCACTCGGGATAAAGTGCTCATGGAGGCCAGAAAAGGAAATGGAACTAGAGTCCCCTGGAATTGGAGTTATAGGTGGTTGTGAGCCATCGATGTGGGGGCTGAGAACTGAATCCGAGTCCTCTGCAAGAGCAAAAGTGATCTTAACTGCTGAGCCATCTCTCAACCCCATTTTAGCCATTTTTTAAGTGTACCATTTATATTCTTGTGCGGCCACCACCACCATACCTTTTCATAACTCCTTCATCTTGCTGCACTTACAGTCTCCTCCATTTTTCTCCTAAGTTCCTGGTAACCAGCATTCTCCTTTCCCTCTGTGCATCTGACAACCCTAGCCACTCCTTATAATTGAATCCACACAATATTTGTCCTTTTGTGACTGGTTAATTATACTTAGCATAATGTCCTCAAGGTTCAGCCACGGTATGGCACAAATCAGAATGAGACCTTTTGGGGGCAGGGTCTCACTATGTAGCTCAGGATGGTCTAAAGCTTGTAGTCTTCCTGTGTCAACCTTCTGAGTGCTGGGATTACAGGTGTGCACCACCACACCTGGCTTCCATGTCTTTTTAGTGCTTAATGAGGTTCTTTTGTATGGATGTACCATATTTGTTCCTGTTCTGCCCATGCAGTGGACATCTGGTTTTATACTTTCTGGCAATTGTGACAAATGCCACTGTCTTAGAGTTGCTATTGCTGTGATGCAACACCATGACCAAAAGCAAGATGGGGAGGAAATGGTTTATTTGGCTTATATTTCCACATCACAGTTCATCATCAAAAGGTATCAGGACAGGAACTCAAGTAGGGTAGGAACCTGGAGGCAGGAACTGATGTAGAAGCCATGAAGGAGTGCTGCTTACTGGCTTGCTCCTCATGCCTTTCTCAGCCTGCTTTCTTATAGATCCCAGGACCAACTTCCAAGGGATGGCATCACTCACAGTGGATAGCTGGGCCCTCCCCCATCAATTACTAATTAAGAAAATGCCCTACAGGCTTTCCTACAGCCTGATCTTCTGGAGGCATTTTCTCAATTGGAGTTCCCTTCTCTCAGATGACTCTAGCCTATGTCAAGTTGACATAAAATTAGCCAGCACAGTCACCATGAACACTGATGAGCTAATTTATGTATAGAAATGCTTTCATTTCCCTTGGGTGCGTCATTAAGAGTAGGATTACAGAACTGTGCATGGCTTTTTTTCCCTTAGTGTATTTATTTTTATTTTGAGCTTTGAAGAAATTATTAGGTCCAAGAATAATAGCCTTCTATGACCTCAGAAAGATTTTTTATGTATTAATTTTTAAAAACAAACCCCAACCTCCTTCTCTGGCATATCCCTTGATACCTGTTGCCCAGATTGTTTTCAGAATTGTGAAATTCATATTATCTTATCAAAGCATAGTATGGTTCACTGTGACCTTCCCAGAAGTGGGCAGTATTCTGTTCAAGATACATGCTAATTTCAATGTAAATGTTTGGTTTCACTGTTTTGACTTGGATGTTTTTATTACTGACTGGTCTTCCTCTGTTGATTAGGCCTCTGGATGAACAACATTTGAGCTAATACCTGTTTCTTCCCCAGATGTGTTGCTTTTGATGATGCCACAGGTACCTTTGGGTGCTGCTGATCCTGTGATGGGGTACCCAGTTCTGAAGAGCAGCTCTTTGTAGGAGTTAGTGAAAGCACTCTGACACCAGTGAGCACAACCAGCACGAGCCCCTGGTAACTTCTGGAAGGCTTTATCCTGGCTTGGAATTTCACAGTGGTTCTTTGAGGCAGAAAGTAAATCTTCCTGTTCAGTTTGGTTCATGGCGATGCTTGTGGCCCCTGGCTGCCTCATGGAGTTGGTTGGTCCCTGGCTAGAAGAGCATAGTTAAGGTTTCTTCACCCACTCCCTAGGTGGGAGTCAGGGCAGCTATCCTGTTCTACCACTGGGAGGCTGTGCTGTTGAAAGCCTTGGAGACATCAAGGCCTTTTTCTCTTGAATTCCGTCTTTCCTCAAATCCACTCCCTAAATACACGTAAAGTGCAGTTCATAGGAGC